GCTTTATTTCTTAAGAATTACTCTAATCTAAAACTTTTCTGTTGTAGAAATTTATTCTATACGTTATTTAGGTACTTGCTGCAAAATCTATGTAGTTTTAAATATAAAAATTTATAATGGAGACATATTTAGTGTAGTTTTTTTTACAAATATATACTCAGTGACTTGTTTTAGTGAATGAGTTCAAGTATAGCAGACTAAAATCGTTACTTTTTATTATAAATTTATTTAAAAATGGGAACTATATGTATATGGTTTGCGTAGTTTTTACACTTGTAATAAAAATATCAAAGTTATGTTTATTTGCCATTTACTACACACAGCAAATTCATAGACACTATACATATCACTATTTGACATTCTTATTAAACTAATTAATTTAAAATTAACTTTAAACTGAGTGACTACACACAGAATTGTTTGAAAGCAGCCATAAGGTATAATTTATTTATTGGATACTATAAAAAAATAATAGTAGTTACATGTAGAGTTAAGTAACAAGAACTTTATAAACAAAACAAACCTTTATATCTAGTGAACTTAATTTAGTACAGTCCTCAACTTTCTTAGGCTAATATTAAAGATATCTATTTGGACCTCGCTAAAAAACTCATTGGTAACAGCCATTATCTTGTTAAAAGGAAATATACTATTTGAATCTAAACTAAATAATTTTTTGTTACTTGGGATTCTTAGATTAATCTTTGCCACATTAAAATTTATATAGTCAATCAAATCACAATCTTTGTACTTAATATTATTTAAAATAGAGTACAAAATATATCACAGCCTGTTGCTTTCTTCTTTGTAAAAGAGATTTAATCTTAAAACTATAGAGCATAGTTTTATATGAGATCTTATAAAGGTACAAGTATTTTTTATCGCATAAAGGTACGGTAAAAATATTTTTTGTACTTTTTCAATATGATCAATATGTGTGGCTTTCAAGGGCATCCATATTTGTGAAACATACTCAAGATGGGGTCTTAGTAAGGCATTATATAATCTGATTTTGGTGGTAATTCTAAATTTTTTTTGTATTTCTGATTTAAAAACCCAAAGCTTTTATTGTTATTTTGGTTATGTGTAAGAAATGGTTAATAAACTTCAAATTAGACTGAAAGACAACTCCAAAATCCTTTATCTCATATTCATGATTTAATGTGACATCACATGTCTTGGGTCTAATGTAAAAAATTAAGAGGCTATGGATCCTTACAACTTAAAATATTCATATGTTTGTAAGTGTTAAATGGACGGATAAAAAGTGTTGTTTTTATTTACAATTATAATAAGAAACATATCATTTTTGATACCTGATAATCGATAAACAATATATTTTTTGGAGTAGTAACAGATTTATTAATACACAACTATTATTTTGTTACAAATATTTATATTATAATATTTATAATTAACATAATAGTTGATATAAGTCCTTTAAAAATAATATATTTTGATTTAATTGTTGAATTTATACATGAGCAATTTTCCTTGTAGCGTTGTTTACATTTGGCAGAGAACTATTGTATTCTGCTTTTAGCTGATAAATCATGTACATGTAAACGGGTTGAATGTAGACAATGTTAATGTTTTTGCTACTACTGCTGGCTAGGAATGCTGGACTGGGACACCAACACAAAAAAAAACGAAGCACAAAGCACTAGATCAGTTTCTATCACTTATACACTTACAATTTACAACCATTCAAGGAACTAGCATGTTGGAAATACTTTACGAAAACATATTAAACATAAATCAGTCGAATGCAATGTATTTTCTTCTTATAAGACACCTTTTTAGTTTGATTACTTCTAGTACTCTATTTATTCCAATTTCCTCATATAAAACGAGCAATAATACGTAACAATAAGGATAAAACACACACTAAAGTGTATTTGGGGTATTTTTGATCTAAATTCACTATCAAAACAACAAATTTTCCGTTTTTAAGCTGTGAATGTATTACAAAACTACTTCGATAAAATGTAAACAAAAGTTTGTATTTGTGTACGAAATATGGATTGCCTGCGCATGGTAGCGAGTTTTTAACCGGATTTATGACAAGTGATAGGTTATATCCCGAAAACGTCAGCGCAGTAAAAGATGCGTGTCTTTTTCCCGCCCAGGGAGTGTCATGGGCCTGATTGAACAATAACAATGTGAAACAGATAATGGTTATTATAAATTCTCCCGAGTGAGATGAGAAATAAAAATGGCTGCGCCCATAGAGTCGCATCTTGTTCTAGTGATACAATATGCACATTGGCTTTCTACCCCACTCCAGTTCATTGCATTCACCGGGCTTCATAATTTTCTAACCTAAGAAAAAAGTTGAGTTGGGTAATCCCAGTATCGGTAACTAGTATAGCCCGAGCTGAAACTATTTTTGTTTCAAGGAACAGATTCTAGAATCTGTTCCTTGAAACAAAAATAGTTTCATCTAGATGGCGCTGTACACAACAATTTACAGAAATCTACAATTGATGGTGGAAAGAGTGGGAGTGTCATTTGTCATTGTCAGGCATCCATTATCGATTACCAGGAGTGCGTTTAGAAACCCCGCACGACGCGTCTGAGCCCTATTCTAATGCATGTGGTCAGACGCGCCGTGCGGGGTTTCTAAACGCACTCCAGTGTTGCCAACCTAGCGGTTTTCTCGCTAGATTTAGCGGTTCTGTTTTCAATTTAGTGGGTAAAAACTTTGTTTAGCGGCTTAGCGGTTTTTTAGCGGTTTTAATTTTTAAAATTTTTTTAAAAAAAATTGATAGAAAAATAAAACTTGTCCACGCACAATATACAATTTATTCTCGAGTTGTTGTATTTTTTAGTAGATCACTGCCACAAGCGAATATTTTAATGATTTTATTATTCATTTATTGCCTTTTTGAGCATAATTTTTGTCATCTGTATTGGTAAATTGATAAGTTTGGTAAGATCCCTGTACACTGTCGCTGTATTAAGTATAATTTCACTTTTAGAGGGGGGTTCACTGCTTTTAGCGGATTCTAGCGGTTTTAATATACCAATCCAGCGGGAATGCGAAGCGGAGTGTTGGCAACACTGTCGATTACCTCGCGGTGAACGACATTTGCCATTTTACTTGTATTTTTTGTGATTATCAATATATTGTCAATAATTATTATTTGTTTGTACTTGGGTGTTCTCTGGATCCTGGATGAATAAATAGTAAGTATTTTGTAAATAATTGTTCATTGTATTGTCAACTTGGTCTTGTTCAATTGTGTTTTAAATGTTCAATTTGTTTACTTGATCTTGCTGACGATTGAGCTTATTTTAAATTTTTGTGGTAATTTTTAGTTATAAAAGCTGTAATATATCGTATTGTTGTATGCCAAATTGTTTTGTAAATACTCTGAAATCCTAATAACGATTTATTTCAAATTTGAGTATTGGGTGTTCGCAGTCCGTTTTTCAAGAATAAAACAACAAATTTGTAAAAACTATGTGATAAACATTTTGAAGATATGTTTAAAGTTCTTGGTGCACGCAGCGATCTAACTGTATTTTTATTTGTTCTAGTACAAACTTTTTCAAGCCATTTGGAGTGGCAGTATTGCATCATTGAAGACAAAAACAGCCTAGTCAGGGAAGTAATAGTCACTGTACTTTTTGTATTCATGCCTCATATTTGATTTTTATATTGATTTAGTTCAGATTGTTACTTTTACTGTTTTTTATTTGTTCTAGTACAAACTTTCTTCAAGCCGTTTGGAATGGCAATATTGGATTGTGGAAGACAAAATAGCCTAGTCCGGGAAGTAATGGTCAGTATACCTTTTTTTTATTTATGCCTCACTTTCTGTGCTCCCCAACAGATTTGAAGGGTTCAGGAAAAAAAGGGGCCTAGTCACAATTACCAAAATGTTCAGAAAACCAAATTTAATTTAGACTGACTAAATACAAACTTTTGATACTTTAAGGTAATTGATTACAAAAAGATGTTACTTTGTTTAAATGTTGCCTGATTATATTGTAGTTTACCACTTAATTTACCAGACAGTTGTAATTTTTTATTCTAAATACTGAAAATGACAAACAAACAGTAGGAAAGTCCTTGGACATAATTTTAAATGCACTGTTTTGCATTTGCTAATACTGGTATTTTACAAAATAGGGCGGACCAGTTCAATTTTGATAAAAATGTGGCTTAGCTGCTTTTTTCTTCCTGTACCCTTCTTGATTTATAAGTTGATTAATATTTATTTTTTGTTTTAGATAAAACTCTTCAACCTCTGTGGACAATGACTTAACTTTCCAGCTAATTAACACGCTACATTTAATTATTCTATTTTGTATGTTTTTTTTGTTTTAATAAATTAATTTTGTTGATCATGCTTTTTAATTTTTTGTAAAAATATTTTAACTTGTAGTCAAGTTAGGATTGGTTCATACTACTCATTTTTTGCTTTATTGTAACAAATATAATTTTATTGCTACAATAAACGTAAAAAAGGAGTTTGTATGAACACATCTTAATTTGACTAACACTTTTAAACTAAATATTGAAGGACCATTTTGAATGTTCCCGCGTTTTGTGTTAACTAAAGTGACCGCGAGATGGCGCCACTTCCGCCAAATAGTTCAAAGAACGCTCACCGGGTGTTACAAAACTGTCTCAAATTTTAACATTGCAGTTTCCATTCTAAAAGTAATTGTTCTGTGGGTAATCCTTCCTCCACATTTCCTCCATGAGTTGGGTCTTAAAAATTTGAAGGGGCAGAAGCTCGGCAAAAGTAATAAACTGTGTAAAAATGTGTAGGGTCACCTTCTGCATTTTGTGATTAATCGGACAATTATTGAAGTTGTCTCTGATTATGTAATTTGAGGTGTTTGTGAAATATGTAATAAATCTGTTTCAACAAAATTCAGATAAAACTACTTATCGATAATTGAAAAACATATTGCAATAGAAGGTCAATTACTTGTTACGTTTACAAGTCCTTTATTTTTAAATTTTCTTAATAAAAAAAAACAGCATGTCCTTAAAACATTTAAAATACCCTTTAAACAATGGTAATTATTTGCCAGCTGTTGGATGTAAGTATAAATTACATAAAAATGTACCTACCTTTTAGTATTATCTGTGTTATGTAGAGGTAAATTAAGTAATTATTAAAATTTCAGTTGGAACTTGGTTAATAAAGGGAGATGAAAAAACACTTAAAGTTATGGATATGGCATTGGAAGCAGGCTACCGGCTTTTTGGTATTCCAACAATAAGTTTTTTCTAGTAGGTATGTTATTTATTGATATATTTTTTTAGACACTGCTGCAATGTATGGAAATGAAGATGAAATAGGAAAAGCATTAAAAAAACTCTTACCGAAACACAATTTATCTAGAAACGACGTTTTTATAACTACAAAACTATGTAAGTAGATTATGTAATGAGTATTAAATTTAATAAAATTAATATTTAGATTCCTATATAGTTGTTCTACTGCACATCAAATTGTGCCAGTTAAATATCTTTCATTTTAGATCCATCAGATCAAGGCGAAAAAGCCTTTGAGGCAATTAAAACTTCTTTAAAGAAATTAGATTGTGATTATATTGATTTATATTTAATACATTGGCCTGGAACCTATGGAGTAAGTTCACGAAGCAAAGAAAATGCTATATTGAGAGATATCAGCTGGCAACAAATGGTTAGGGCTGTCAATCTAGGGCTGATCAAGAACATTGGGGTGTCTAACTATACTGTAAATCATTTGAAGGAGTTATTAAGTAACAATCATGGTATAAAGCCCGTTGTTAATCAGGTAAATTTAATGTAGATACAAAATGTTCATGTCAAAGAAGGCAGCAGAGCACCTAGGCAATTTTGGGTTGAAACCTATGTCATATTTTAAGGCTATTTTTATGCCCTATTCAAAAATTGTATACTCCCCGTTTTTTGAAAAAAATAAGGTTCTCTGCTGCTAGCTTTGAACGAAGTCAGCAGAGCACCTCAGTTTTTTTAAGTTTTTTTCCAAAAACGACACCATATTTTTTGGCTCTTAAAATATAACAAAACTTTTCGAAAATAAAAAAAATGTTTTTTTGAAAAATACAGGGTGCTTTGCTAGCTTCGAACGAATCCAGCAGAGGACCTCAGTTTTTAAAACTCTTTTTAACCGACTTCAAAAAAGGAGGAGGTTCTCAATTCGTTGGAATATTTTTTTTTATGTATGTTCAGTGATAATTCTTTACCATGTTGTCCGATTTCTACATTTTTTGTTAGATAGGGGATACCTCAGAGTTAGTTCCTTATACAATTGGTCAGGATCTGATGATCTACGGAAAAATCAAAATTTTAATGGCACTGCATGATTTTGAAGTCAGTTTTTTAAAATTACTTTTATAACTTGTTTCTAAAAACAACCACACCACATTTTTAAGCTATCTTTAGGCTTTGAAATTTTATAAAAATTTTCTAAAATAATTCCTACTTTTTAATATTGCTTTGTTCAAATGAAGCCAACAGAGCACCTTGATTTTTTTTTCAAAACAACTAAGTACATCGCGTTTTTAGACTATTTTTATGCTCTCAAAATATATCATTTTCAGAAAAAAAAAAAAAATAGTTAAACCGAGGTGCTATGCTGACTTTGTTTCAATAAAAGCCTGTATTATTTAAAAATAACAATTTTTATCATATTTCAAAAAATAGCCTAAAAATGTGGTGTGGTGTAGAAAAAAGCTACAAAAAACCGAGGTGTTCCGCTGGGTTCGTTGAAAAATAACAATTTTTTTTCGAAAATTTTATATTTTAAAAGCCTAAAAATAGCACAAAAATATGGTGTGGTTGTTTTTCGAAAAAAAAAAAAAAAAGCTTTAAAAAACCTATTGGTGCTCTGCTGGATTCGTTCGAAGCAAGCAAATAAATAAAAATATTTTTTTTAAGTTTTATATTATTTCAAGAGCCTAAAAATAGTCTAAAAGTAATTTGTGGTTGTTTTCAGAAAAAAAAAAAAAAATAAAGTGATGTGCTCTACTGGCTTTGTTCCGACAAAGCACCCTTTTTAGAAAAGTTTAATAATATTTCAAGGGCCTAAAAATAGCTTAAAAATGCGATGCGGTTGTTTTTAGAAAAAAGTTTTAAAAAACCAAGGTGCTCTGCAGGGTTCGTTCATTAAAAACTAACAATTTTTTTCGAAAAGTTATAATATTTTAAAAGCCTAAAAATGAGGTGTGGCTGTTTTTTTGAAAAAAGCTTTAACAAGCTGAGGTTCTCTGCTTACTTTATTCCAACAGAGCAACCTGTATTATTTATAAATAGCAATTATTTAGTAAAGTTTAATAATATTTCAAGAGTCTAAAAATAGCCCAAAAATACAGTGTCGTTATTTTTAGAAAAAGAACTTCAAAAAACTGAGGTGCTCTACTGACTTCTTTAGAAGCTTGCAGAGCATCTTGATTTTTGCAAAAAAACGAGGAGCATTTAATTTTTGAATAGGGTATAAAAATAGCCTAAAAATATGGCATAGGTTTCAACTCAAAATTGCCTAGATGCTTTGTTATAAAATGTTCACGACAGTAAAATTGATATTTAACAGATCTAGCACAAATTAAAATGAACTGCTCTAGTGTTACTAGAAACAAATATTTTAGCTACATCTTCCTTGTTTTAAATTTTTGTCACTTTTCTCATGTTCAGTGTTGCCAATACTGTAGAAACAAAAAGCTCAACTTTATTTCCATAAAAAATGTGACATATGATTTAATTTAATTTTGATATTCTTGGTCTTTATGTCTAGAGGTAAATATCCTAAAGGATGTAGAATTCACTCACTCAGACTTATGATTGTTCTTGTTTAATCTTGCGAATTCAAAATATTTGAATTTAAATTTAGTATGACTCCATGTACCATGTACAGGGATCTTATACATCTTACTATATAATATATAGTTAAATCTAAATTCAATTAATTACTTTTAAATTAACCAGGTACACATTTCCGAAAAAATAGATCTTTTTTTTATCATACTGGCTACCCGACCGCCGGCGGTGCTTGCATTTGTTGAAAAGAAAACCGTCTTCCGGCGGCATGGTCTTCTTCATACAGGAAAGCGTCCGCAAATCTAAACTGATTTGTTGATCAGGGCGGCATGCTATCAGTGAATTGAAAAATGCCGCCGGACGACGGTCTACTGTATTTAAAACATTGAATGCCGGTGGTAAGAGAAAATACTTGTAAAATCGTCTACATTTTTGTGGCAAATGATCATTATGTCGTACGCGTTTTATTTGTACATCGGTCTCCTTTTGACAGAGTAGATGAGCTGTGTCCAGGCCGTTGGTGTTTATGCCGGTCGGCGTAGCCAGGTATGGATTGAAATTGTATGGTGGCGGCGAAGCCGCGACCCTACCAGGAGTCGTTACTTTGTCTTCTTATTGTCACGGCATTATTATTATTTGTTCATGTATGTGAAATTTACTTCTAAGGTTTATAAAATACTACTGCTAGTCACGGCGTAAATGAAAACAAACAAGACGCAATTCACACAAACACTTCCCACCACAGCAATTACAAATTATTAGTATTGCCCCGATACGTGAATTTTTTCCGGCGGCATTTAATGTTTCAAATACAGTAGACCGTCGTCCGGCGGCCTTATCAATACTCTGATAGCCTGCCGCCCTCATTAACAAATCAGTTTAGATTTTCGGTGGCTTTCTTATATGTGAGAAGACCACGCCGCCGGAAGACGGTTTTCGTTTTATTAAATTCAACTACTGCCGGCGGTCGGCTAGCCAGTACGTTTTATTTATAGGTCGAATGGTATCCTCCATTTTTTTAAAGGTTTAAAATATAAAATAAAAAAAAATGCCATTTGTAAAAAATACAGCGTGCTTTGCTAAATTTAGAACGAAGCCAACAGAGCACCTCGATTTTTTAAGTTTTTTTTTTTATAAAAAACAAACCACACCATATTAATTTTTAGTCTTAGGTAAATGAAACAACATATGAAGCATTTCATTCATAGCGTATCATTTGTTTGGTCCCAATTATTGGAAAACAGAAAGAAGATATTTTATGCGGATTGAAAGAAGACAGACTGTAATTCTAGATCTCGTCTGGCAACGCTGCTGTTACACGCAACTAAAAGTCTGTCATACCAGTGGTGTATCTTATTGGAGATAAAAACTCCTGAAAAAGATTAGGTATTAATTTGCAGTAAATACTAATTTTGTGTATAATCTTGAAATACTAACCTGTATGGTGTGCAATAAACTTTATAATGGTTTAAACTTGAAAACCTATTGGATTTGGAATAAGGATATGCAGTTGAGTGGAATGTAGGTAAAAAACTTAAAAACAGTATATATTTTTTCTTCCAAAAATAATATTTATTTATTACATATAAAGAACAAAACAAAATACAATATACCTATATAAAATAAAAACAAGTTAAATAATTGAAGATTTATTAAAAAAAAAATACGAATCCGATTTTGGAGTTAATTTGGATAGTTTTACAAATTGGTAGTAATGAGAGATTTTTAATCAAAATTTAGATTTTTAAGACTAATAAAGTTATAAAAGTTAACAAATTAATAAATTTACCATATATTCAAGGTGAGGATTTTAAAGGGAACGCTACTTATATCGAATCTGCCAATAAGAATTTGTAAAATCCGAAAACACATACAACAATAAACCTGCGTTAGTGCTAGTCGCTGAAAAAAAAGTTTTTATTTTAAAAAGAAAATATTTTTGTATTTATACTTATTCTATTTTTGCTTAAAATATCCAACTTTTTTGTGGTCTTATAATGAATGAATGAATGCGAATATTGAAATAATGTTTTAATATCAGCTTTATCAGATCTAGTGCGTTATTTTCAAAAATATCGCCATCAAAAATGTGATGTCCAAAAAATTTGAATGTTAGATACTAAGGTGTTTATAGTATTTAAAATTAATGTATCCAAAACCCTCGAAATGCTTCGAGCATAACACTATTTTTCGGCTACCTTCATTTTCTTCAAGTCCTACAAGTAATAGCTAAATTATTCTTGTAAGCCTATCATTTGGGAATCTAAAAAGCAAGCATAAGCATATATTTATTTTACTACTAAAGTCCAGACTAAGGTGTTTCCATTAATAACAATTTTTTGCGAAATTAATAACGTTGAAATATCAAAGGAAATAAATAATAGTAAAACAAAGGTAGATTTATGCTGCGTTTAAATATCCACATCAGATGCATCTGAGATGTTGTAAATCTTTGATCACGTGATTCAGTATACGTAAATGTAGTAAGAGAGATGTGTCCGATGTGGATAAACAAACGCTCGAGATGTAAAAAATGCATCGGATGGGGATATTCAAACGCAGCAAATATATGTGATATTACGGCAAAAATTTTTAAATCTACACTACTGAACAATGCAATACATCACCTAACCTTATTTATGAAAAGACACTTCAGCACTCACTTTATCCAGTTTTTTGCACAAAATGCACTCGCGAACCCTAAAACTATAAGCCGAAATATTTCCAAAAAAGTATAAAAATCAACAAAAACACCCGATATGGAATAATTTACTGGATGGCAACGTCGCAAACTCGATCGATAAAATACTGTTACGCTGGTTTTTGGTATCTCAATTTATTTGAACTCAACTTTTACAGTAACTATACAACTGACAACATTAATGTATAACGTCAATCATAAAAATGTCTGCCTGACGTCAGGATCACCGACTTATACAGCTTGCTTTAACCTTCTCGAACTGTCCAGATTTTTCTTGAAGTGGAATGACATTTCTCGAA